ATTCACTTCTGTAAACTTCATATTTTTCTAAAAGCCCTCTCGTAACTCAATTCGCTAACCGGCTGTATATAACACGGGATTTTTTTTTTTTATAAGTTCTTTTTTTCTGTTTTCGTAAAAGGGGAAAAAAATTATACATAATCTCGCGGATTATCTTAATGTGTCGGCGGCCGCGTTGACGGTAAACTTTACGACGCGTATAAGACCACCACCGTCTCCACGACACTCTCCTCGTTTTTTTTCCCTTCCTTCACCTAATAATATTATAAAAAATTTTGCGTACGCGTGCAGACATATAAAAAAAACAAAACAAAAAACAAAGTCAACACCCTTTAAAATAAAATCCGCACCTGAAAGCGGTGCGGCGACGACGGCGATTTGCACTGCAGTTCTATTGTATGCATTATACAACATCGAGTAATGGTGAACGGAGTCGAATTAAAAGGGTGATTCAAAACCGGGCTCCGTGAAAAAAAAAGCATCCCAGAAAGACGTTTTAAAAATGTATAGTAAAAATATCTGAACCATTAATATGATCCAGTGTAGAAATGTCACGTGTATCTCAAAAACGAGATATTTTTAGGGTCCCTACATAAATAAGCGTACAACTGAATACAATGTATAAGTTATTTAATAATGTCGTTTAATTAGATTTTTAGATAACATTTAGAAAAAATAACTAAATTTACCGAAATGCTTATAATAATAATATGTATAGTTTATAACAGTAATCATTACACGGCGATGCAGTTATTATAATAATTATGTGTTGCAGTTTTTTCACGTCGGAAATTATTCGATCGATGAAAAAAAATAGGGAAAGTACAATACGAGTTAAAAAAAAAATGTTATTACACAGATGCAATCGCGCGAGTTCTCCTGAGCAATAATAATGCGTATAGTAGTGTTTTTTTTTTTTTTTAGAACATCGTCAATTTATGAGACTAGAAAACGAATGAAACGAACACGTTATGTATAATACGAGTTTATATATAACGAATTTATTGTATTTACAATCGAGCAATTAAAAAAAACGGTCATGCGACAAAATTACAAAAAAAAAAAAAAAAATTTTTTTATATACTTATATTACTTATTATGTATAATGGAAATCGCCGTATTTATTTCTCTTTTACCGCCACCAACATCCGCGTGGTTTTAATATACGAACGTCCCGGAACCGTTATTATGACAGTATTATATCCCCCAATAACAATAATTATTTCCGTTTTATACGTTTTTCCTAAGTTACGTTTTTTGTTTTCGGTTTTTTTTTTTTTTTATAGGAACGAAAACAACAGTCTGTACCTTGCGCAAACATATGCAGTTTTCACGCTCTCGCATTATAAACGAAATTATTTTGGTTCTTTTTTTTTTTTTTTTTTTTTTTAATTTATAAAGGTCCTCGCGTAATCCTTATTTAATAAAGCGCTGCGAACACACCGCAATAATTATACACACATTATATTGACTCGGGCAGCAATATTATTGTAATATAATAAAACCGAAGTTTTCCCCCCGTATTATATTATACGACATTATATTTTCGAAAAGCTCAAGAACCGCAATCGGGATTTCGAATTAACGACGATAACAATAATAATTATACTGGTATAAAAACCATATTACTATTATTATCATACAATATATACACTTGAAAAACGACTATTGTTTCATTATTACATAATATGTATACATACTTTAGTGAAACAACTTTCGAAAAGTAACATATGTCGAAACCGAATATATATAGTTAAGTCAGTAGTGCAACCAAAAGACCCTGAAAACTACTAATTTCCAAGCATTTTTGAGAAGCCGTTTTTCACAAAATACCAAATAAAAACTAAACAAAACCTTATTTTTTTATTTTAATAATGCTGCAATTTTTAGGTGTTACTGCCGTACATAATATTTTTAAATTAACTCTAACAACCCCCCTCCCCCCACAACATACACACTCATTTTCCTTTTGCTAACTCAAAGGTAAGTGTAATCTATATTGACACTCGCGGTTGCTAAAATTTTGTAGGTATATTATTCGTAGGTGTTCATCAGTGCATGCAGAAATAAATTTCGGAGGAGAAGCCTGTAGAAGCACTATAATCATTTTTATATTACCTACTATATTTTTACTATTTCTTAGAACGATAAATTCACCAAATAAACAAAACAAATCGGAGAGGGGATCAAGTATCCTCAATCATCTTCCCCCCGCCTATGGTACTGATGTTCGCTATTCAGATGAAGTTCAGAGTGAAGTTCAAAATCTTCGTTTCCAAAAAATTCGGCAATTTCGATGCATTGCTGTGCACCCTAGTGTGGGATATGCATGTTAACTCCAGACGTAATGCAATATTATCCATACGACACATTTTTATTTCGATGATTTTCATCACAAAAAAATCGAAATTTTGATTTTTTCTGGTATGCACATATCATAAAAACTGCAACATACGTATATCGTTTGAAGTATATACGTTTACCAGCCCGAACGATATAAGTCAATATTATATAGAAGTGGTATATTTATTATGGTGAGTATAGTATTTTACTTTTTACAGACATACCGCACGTGTAAACGAACTGTCGGAGGTCCCATTAAAAACTGAGTGGTAATAAACGGAAAGTTTATCGATATAATTTTCTATTGTCTATTATTATTATTATTATCATCGTTGGCTTTGGGATATCCGAAAAAAAAATGTACAACGGAATAATAAAAAAAAAAAATCTAATAAACTACGAAAGTTTGGTAAAAAAGAAAAATAATAATAATAAATACAAATTGTATATATAAGTAGAAAGGCGAGAAAAGAGCTTATTTTTTGCAGCCGTATACACAATAAAAGAGTAAAAATTAAGTGTTGGCCTGAGGACGTTTTTCAGTTTGCGCAAAGCATAATAATATATAGTATCGTCACTGCAGAATTGTACGATTAAAAAAACAAAAAGGAAGAAAAAAACCGAAGAATCTTTATCAGGAAATATCGTATTCTTTTACCTACATACATTTAGTGTATTTTTATATTCAAGTGATATCGTATGGGGTTCGGATACACGATGAAGGGCAGTCGTTACTGTTTCCCTCGACCCCTAAAATATTTCAATCAAACCGAGCAGCAAACTTGTTTGGTATAATCAAAATAGATCATATCGACGGCGTTTTGTTAAAAGGGTGTCTTATAAAATTCATTTTTTTCAATAAACAAAAAAAACTGATTTGCAAATCAACCTTGTACATAAAGTATACATGCATTGAATGTGGTATGCGTTCTTTTAACAAATCAGTGTGGATTTAATTATATTTTAAAAGGACGCCTGGATATCTTTTAATCGATATTACCAATTTAATTTTCCGTAATTAAATACGCCCTTTTACCAGTTTATGCACCTAATTTTTCTGATTTTTTTTTTTTTTTTTGATATCAAAAACGTACTTTTCAATTTTTCATGGTATGCGTCCTAACCATCGATATAGATAAAAACCGTCGCGGTTTTCCCCCGCTTAACCACCGTGGTTTTCCGTCAACTAGATTTTAGGTTTATACTCTGCAGGACAACTGCCGTAGAACCGTTTCAGGTTTCGGACCGACCGCTTGCGTTTGCGGGGCGCACGTTTATCGTTGGCGTACGTTCAACGATAGCATTGAGCTAGCACGCGTTACCGATACTATCATAAATTCGTGACGACCAAATCGGAAAGCATTAGCGTTCACGTCTGCCGTGCAGGCTCGTTTCGAGTATGGCGAACGTTAACGCGCGCGGCCCCCGGCCCCCATGCCGTCGCCCTGCCGTTGAATCCGGTCGACCGTTACGGCGCGGCGCGCGTCTGGACCCGCAGCGTGGCGGCGGACCGGACGCGTTAACCACCGGGCTCGCGGATGCGAGTACATACAACTCCGCGCGCCGCGATAGCATGCCCGTGACGTTAATGGTCGTCGGCGCTGCCACCGGTGCGGGCGTCATGCGGTTCACATAATGAAACGGGTAATGCGTGGCCGCGGCGGCAAAAGCGCCGGGTCTTTTCCCGGGGCACATTATAGGTGATCGGCGGGGCGCAGGTAGGACGCGGGTAAACGGCGGCGGCGGCGGTCGCGGACGTGTATAGCCGCGTTTAGGAGGGGGGGAGAGAGGTCGACGCGCGAACGCCGCCGCGGCTAGTCTCGGTCCCGCCGCGTCGTCGAACCGGCGCGGTCGTGTTTTATTAAAGTAAATTGACAGAAATTGTACATAACCCCGCAGCCGCGCGCGCACATATACACGCACCTATACAATAATAACGTTTTCTATGTGCGTAAACTGCGCGCGCACTGTACATACGTATTGTATATAGGTATATGCGTACGCGTGTGTATATTGTGTAATATTGTTTGCGCTCTATGGGGGTACCGCTACGAGTTTGTGCGTGGAAGAGACGGCGGCGGCGGCGTCGGCGGGCTGAGACCAATTATTATTGTCCTAACCTGGACGCCACATGTTGGCCGCCGCCGCCGCCGCCGCCCGTTCTCCGTATGCAACGTCATAATCGTATTATTATTATTATTATTATTATTATTATTATATTATACGCGGCGAGTCTCTCGCTCGACGACCGCGCCGGTGAAACGCTCGAGCCGAAAATCGACGTACGTATTTTACGTATTGTAACAATCGGGAAGAGACGATTTCTTCGGCCGGGTCCCGTCGTTAAACGGGGTTATACGTACGTGTCGACGGGCCGCGCGTCGTAAAACCCAGAGAACGATAAACGTACGCGCGTACGTAAATACGCGTCCAGTTAAAACGAAACGCGAAGACGCCGGGCGTAACAAACAAAATATATATAAAAAAAAAAATATTATACGGCCGCGGGCGGGCCACACGTGTGTCACGTCGATAAAAAAACTCGCCGACTTCCGCGAACGCGTCCGTACGTACGGCGCGCAGGTATTTGGTGCGGACGAATACGACAATAAAAACGGTGTTACACGTGTGAAAAACATCGCGCGAACGATAACCGAGATTGCGTTTGTTGTCGACCGATAAATAAGGGATCGCGATATCGATAACCGGAGGGCGCGGTTAAGAGGGGAGCGGAGAAGAGATTAGGGAGACGAATCTCCCCCATCGTTGATTTTTTTTTCCCACCGTCCATTATACCTTTATACCGGTCGGCGACTGCGGTTTTGAAAATTCAATTTTTACTTTTTAGCCGGGAAAATCGTTGACAATGTGTCGGTTCAGTGGCGCGCACAGAGAGGAGGTTAGGGAGGAGTGGTATAGTACAGAATAAAATAAAATGCAATTTCATCGTAAACGATGTATTTAGTAATAATATGTGGCGACAGCACTGCAGTAGTACTGATAATAATATATGCTATCCTCTGTAGGAAATTATTAAAATCATGTAAACAAAACCCCTTTTGGGGTACCCGTCCGGACCAATATATAAAATATAGGAAGCATGGCGTCGTCCGGAATGGCACCGCAATATTATGGAACGGCAGCATTCGAAACGGTAACGAAAAATTGGAACGGCCGAAGCGTTATACGGTACAGCGAAATTTTAAAATTCAATATATATCTCCGTACTTTGCCAAATTCTAAATGCACAATCGAGGAATAATATTATAATACGCCGAAAAACGACAAAGAAAATGCGAAATATTGGGCGGTGATCGTATTGACTTATGTTCTTGTAAAAACCGTTTACCGAACATAACTGTCTTTAAATCTGCCGCTAGTATTTGGTTTTCGCTATTACAGACCATCTGTAGGACAGTGGTTCTAAATATTTTTCGAATGACGGAACACTTAACATTTTATACGATTTTCGCGGAACACAGCCGTAAAACAAAACAGTATTCATAAACATTTTAAAATTGTATAATGCGTTAAACAATGTGTGTATAGCTGCACAAAACAGTGTAACAGCACGAACATAACAAACCAACAAAACCTAAAATGATCCTAGGCCCTCCGCAGTCAGTACTGATTTCCGCTGCTCTTCGCCGTTACACGCGTGATTCGGGTCTCCGTTCCACACTATAGACTCGGGTCCATCATGTCTTTTTTACACGCGCACGATAAAAAAAAAAAAACCGCGGATTATCGCCCATACACTATGGGTATTTCTCCCACGCCCGTACACTCTAGCAAACCCATAGATAATATAGAAATGGATAGGATACCTCTATGAAAAATTATTGTAAGTGAGGCGATGTTCCCGGAGCGGCCGGTAAACCGAGGCGATACCTATATTGTCGTTCACCTGGAATAACCGTACGCGTCTCTCTCTTGAAACACTGATAAGGTGTGGATATAGCCTATCCATATCTTTGTTGTCTGTGATCGAACGGCGGTGCGCATACATATTACACAATATTACGGTAAAACGAAATTCCCGATTGCAGAACGACGACGACGGGGGTTCATATTTACATACCATGATTTACTGGCGGTGATGGGAGGGGTGGGGAAATGCGTATTCAAATACTGTTTCGCGTTTCGAGCGGTTTTCTCGGCACACAATGTTTCGAAATACGTTCCGTCGTATACATGTATACAATGTTATTGGACGGTTTTCGCGTCTGCGGCATTAAAAATATTTCAATATTGTGTATTATACGCGGAACACGACATCATAACTATCGTATCGACAATCGCCCGGGAATACAATTTTATATATTTAACACGAAACAATATCGCGCCGCGTCCAATGGAGTCGCAGCGCGTGATAATGCCGATTCCGAGAACCGAGGCCAACAGTTCGGGACAAATTTTTTTCTACAGATTACGTTATTAACTACTTATAGTAAATACCGTGTATTGCGATCACGTCGCTGACGCTACCGCCGTTTATTTTCCAATTTCGATTTTTTCGGCACTGGCCGCTAAAACCGATATGATAATGAAAACAGTTTCGCGCGATAATTTCATCGCTATGAGGCCACCAGCGATCGTTTTCGACCCATCCCGTTTAATAACGCGTTTACGTTCATACGACGAATCCGCTCGAGCGCACCGCGACCTCTACCCGAGCCCGGATTAAGACGTTCAAAGGACCCGGGCCCGAACTTCTCGACGAATCACTCGCGATTATACATTTAAAAACAAAAATTGTTTACCAATCAAAATATACGTTTGAACAAAAGAAAAACAATAAACAGCGCATAATAGAAGCCGATATATATAAAAATAGCCGAACGACGGACAAAAATTTAATACTACAACAGTTGCGGGCTACTCGCGGATTTAACTACGGACGCCCGATCGGTACGCCAAATAGTCACCGCGAGCAAAACTCGGTGGCGCGTCAAGACGAATTAAGTAAAAACAACAGCCGCACAGGCGTCATGTACCGATCGAATTACGAACAAAAATGAAACGGAACGTCCGGTCCGGGCGCCGGTTTTTCCTTTTACCTCTCGATCCGGCGCTGCGGCCCGCTAAAAAAAAAAAAAAAAACCCACGTATACGTACACCGTGTCGTCAGAACGACAGTGCGGCCTCGACGGAGATTAAGGGGCGGTCGCGACGGAGGACGGTGGTAGGGGGTCCGGGGTGAGGGAGTGTTTTGGGCGGGGAAGGGGTGTCGGATGCATAATATCCGTCGCGGCCCGTCGGGTCGTGATAATATTTCGACAAGTCCACCGGCATCAATCCCTTTCAGGTACGCGCGGCCGCGGCGTGTCCGGCGTCCCGTACCCGGCTAATGACTCGCGTGACGGTGTACGGCGGCCGGCCGTGTGACGACGATAATCGCTATTGCGAACGCGTTATATTTATTTAATAACGCCGTCCGGGATTAATGTGCGACATTACGGCGGAAAATTTATTATTAAAAAAAAAAAAAAACAAAAGACCGACGCATTATTATTATTATACGGTCCGGGATTAATGTGCGACATTACGGCGGAAAATGTATTATTAAAAAAAAAAAAAAAAAAAAAAAAACGCGCGCCGCAGTTATACGTATACGTAATTATCGCGCTATAGCTGAGTCTAATTTGCCGAACCGGCCAACCGCGGTTAGCCGTTAAAATATTTCATTTTTCTCCCCCTATTAATTAATTGTATTCGTCTATGATCGTTCGCCGCCGGAATTGATACCGACCGCGCTCTTATTTGGATACGCGAAATATCCTACAATATCCCACCTGCCGTATACACGCATTCCGGTAACGCGAATTACAAGGATCCATCGAAAAGAGTTTTATTGAATCGGGTACATCGATGGTTCCCGGGGATTTTTTTCTTTTTTTTTTTTAACACGCAATCGGACGACTAGAGTTCAAACATCCAAAAGGCGCACGCTAAACAACGACGCAAATTCATATTTATTCGTACGCGAATTCTAACCCGGTCACTTGTTTCGGCGTGTCTGCAGTAGGGGTGTTTAATAAACCCGGCATTCCGTGTGTAAACGTGAAATTTGTGCGTAAACGCGACATAGTAGGGAGGGTCGAAAGTTTAAACCCCGAAATACATATGGTCCGAGGGCATAAGCATAAGCATCGAGATGTTTATATACGCTACATACGCGTTAACGAAATTTCGTCCCTTCGGCCACTTGGCGAGTATATTTAAAAACGTAATAAGCTAAACAAAAATTACTCTCCTCTCCCGACATTACGGTGAAATTCGTATTAAAATTCCACCGAAATTTTATCACTAGTCAGTCCGCCTACAAAACAATGATTCTTATTGCCGGGTTCGTGCTCATTATTTATCCGGAGGAAGCCGCTAAAAATATCCAATAGTATAACGGGAGTAAAAATTCTGTATTATACACTTTATATACCTATAGAACAAACGCGATACAATGCAAGACTTCTATAAAAAAAATACGCGGAAAATCGACCCTATACTTTGATTTTTTCTTTTTTTTTTTTATTTCCTTACATTGCATTATTTAACAAGAATAAGAAAAACGAGTTGCGGTATATAAAACGCGATCACGCTGCGGAGTTATTTTTTAATTTTTTATATAATATTCGTTTCTCGTCGTCCCACTTCTATAAATAATGATATTATATAAGTAGCCATCCGTGAAGAAGGGAAACATTATTTTAACGTGTTGGAAGTGCAGTGCAGTACTTAAAAACTCATAATAAAATCATACTCGGTTTTCGTCGCGTTGCAAGGCCGTAGAAAATCGTCTTTTTTTCGTGTACGCAGTTTTCATACACTCTTAGTGTATGAACATAATGTTATAATACAAACAAATTAAAAATGTAAATAATTAGTCGAGGAGGGTAATTTTATTAACGACTATTATTACACGATATGCTTTATGTACTCCTATGGCACTTTGCTCACCAAAGTGGCCGAATAAATCCAGTAGCGTAAGTATGACGTTTGAAAATGTTGTCATTTTTTGTAAACTAAAAAAAAAATCGATATTTTTGTCTGCGTATATTTTTTTAAGTATTTTACAATTCAATAATCAATCCGAAAATTGAAATCAAATAGGTACACTTTTATTTTATACTAGTAATAATGGTTTATTTCGGTAATAGCATAATCTCATTCGTGTTAAGGTATACTAGTTATCCGACGAGTGACGAGTACTTTTAAATTTAAAAAACGTACACTTTAAGTTGTTTGAACTAAAAAAAATAAATAAAAAGTAATTTGCATAATAAATATAGAATAATTAATAATCGTAAGATTTAACTCGCCTCATATCCTTCTCCGTCAGTGGAGAATAAACTGTCAAGATACCGATTAAATATAAAATAAGATTTTTTTTTTTTTTTCAGTACACAACTTAAGATTTGCAACTAAATGACGTAAAATAAATTTAACAGAGATTTCACGACCGGACAGAAGAAAGAAAACAAAACCACCTGTGATAACGGATATTGTTTCGAAGCCGAAGAATCGGATAATAATATTATAGATTATGCCGGACGAACAGCTGCCGCGGCATACGTTCGGCGCCATCTAGTGTCGGTGTATCGGGTAAAAGGGACGGGCCGCAGTCGTCGTCAGAGGGCGGTTCGGGTCTCGTGCACACCGGATCGGCTAGATGGCGTTCGGAGTTGGTGGCGGCAATTTTATAATAACAACAATAACAATAATATTTAAACGGCCGACGACGACGGCGTGCGCCGCGATAACGGCCGCGAAAATACCTGTGGGCCAGCGGGTCTCCGGCGGCGGATGGGTGGGAGGGGGTGAGAGGAAGACGCCGCCGGGCGTTTAATGTTTGCGCTGCCCCCCGAAGGACAGGGAGAGAAGAAGGTTACCGTCGACGGCGGCGG